TTGATCTATGTCTTTTTTGTGAACAGAATGATTTTCTATGTCAAAGATTTTTATCATTTGATTTCACATTTTATAGAGCGTAATTTTCAATGATGGCTGGTGATAGGGTACATCCGGCGAAGTCATAGTCATCAAATTTGTCTGAAGAATTTGGAATTTGAAGAGTTTAGCTGAACTTTCATGCGTAGTTGTGTGTTCAACATTCCGATGTTGAATTAGGAAATTATCAACACATTTTCCCAGCTCTTCTAAATTACTTAGATTCCTTGGCTCTATGTCGCTCTTTAATGTTCACATGAAGTTTCTGCTAACCCATTTGACTGAGATTGACGTGAGGCTGTACACAAATGACGGCCACCAATTTTTCTAAGGTAATCAATCATTTAAATTTCTGTCAGTAAAATGAGTTGGATTATCATCATTGACTGAGATATTTAGCATTCCCTTGGGAATAAAAATGTTTTTATCGTTGTATGTAAATAGCGTACCAGGAGTGTCCGTAGGTATTACTTCTGACCACTTGGAATAATTCACCATAAATAGACCATAACATGAATACACTACCATGTCTCACAAGAAGAAAAATATAGATTCTATGCTGGTTTTCTATGCGATACCTTATGCAGACAAGCAGAACAACCCTTTGATCTCATATCAGCATCGATTTCCAGTCACAGTTACGGGAGCCAACAGTTTCTTCTACTGAGCTCTTAGGTGAACAGAATGAAGACCATTTAATGCAAATCTCAATGTCGAAGAAATGACAACTCTGTCGTTCAAACATAAAAATCATTCATGATTTTGTGATATTTCATATTATCCTGTATAGAAGTCAGACAATTTCCTCTTGCACTGGGCATTCCAACTGTTCTTCATTGCATTTAAGATGCTTCCATAGTACTTCCAAGTATCTTGAGCAAATTAAGTTCTGTCAACAGGTAATATCTACACGGATCAACTACCAGTATCAGTAAAACTCTCGAACGATGAATAACGCGATAGAAAATACACATGAGGTATATCTGTTGGCTTTTCTATGTTCAAACGTTAGTCATAAACACTCATTTCTAAACTTCATCTCTGGACCATGGCAGCAGATGACCTGTACAAGGATTCCTTCAGATGGTGAGTGAATTTCAAAGCTTGATGATCAAAAACAATATGAAACCTTGTGATGAACATATACTTATGAAGATGCCCAACTCCCCAGACGATGGTTAGTGCTTCTTTCTGGGTTTGAAAATATTCCTGTTCAGTCTTATTTAAGCATCTTGAAATAAAAATAACAAGCTATTCGTTTTGCTCTAGTGCTGCAGCTATGCCATCTAGAGAAGCATCTGTGGTGAAAACAGACTTGTCGCTTTGTGAGACACATCTCAGTAAAGCTTGATTATTCGTAGAATATTTTCATGGCATTATTCCTAAGCAGACTGCAAGCTAGTAATAGCATCGAAAAATTGATACAATAATTGTGTGGAATTAGGAATGAATCTAGAGTAAAAATGCAGTGATAATCCATGATCTGAAGTATTTGTCAGTGAAGACGCTCAAATCAGTTGAGTTACATGATGTATATCAGGTTAGAAGCACCAAAATATGAGGTGCATCCTAAGGACGAAACAGACGCTAAACTGAACTGATGTTTGGATGAACTGACTGCCAAATTTTTATCACAAAACCATTTGAACACTTTTAAAAGGCATTCATGATGTGATTCTACATTCGAACCATAAAATATTATGTCATCTTGACACCATCTAATGCAGCTGTTATCTGATTCACAGCATTTTTAAATATTCCAGATAAAAATTAACTCCTAAACATCACAGGGGAAACAATAATAGTGGTTAGTTTAATATGGGCGTGATCAAGAGAAATTTGTAGTTATACATCTTTCAGATAGGTTTAAAAGTAGTGTTGCCACTTAATTCGTACTAGATTTCTTGTTTAGTGCAACCTTGCTGTATTCGGCTGTTAAGTGTTAAATGATAGGGTTGCGAAACGGTATTTTCTTGTACGAAGTTATGAATTGTACATAAATGCGACAGCACCGTTAAGTAAAGGAAATCACGGAAAAGAGTCTCTTTGTCAAACCCATTGTCTTCATTTTCTCATATGTCATCCCAGAGACACTTTATGACCGTCATAAAAGTTGATGTATTTTGGTTTATGTTTTCTTTGAATAGCCTCTTTTCAAAATGATGCGTTCTACTGCTGCATCTCGTCATAAACACACCAAAAAAGTAATAGCTGATTCCAATCCATTCTCTTGGTTGAACTCCAACTCTGAGTAACAATTTTTGAAAGCGCGTACGATGGAATGCAGTTAGAAGCAGGTGTCCCATTATTTTGTTCCCGATACATTTCATTTTATTGATAAAAGTAAGGACGTTGACACCCCAGTAAAAGTCATTATTATTATTTGCCCCTTGGGTTCCTAGTGGAACATATGGCTTCACTAGCACGCCTCCACTGCACTCTCTCCTCTTCAGTCTTTCCAATCTGGCCACATGAATGCCCACAAGCTTTCATTTCCTCCTCACACCACCTCCTCCATGTCACCATCGCCTCGGATGTCCAACTCATCAATTCCCATGCGGGCTCCACTCGACCACTTGGCCCGGTGCATGATGTCTCCAAACGGTCCTCTCAGTGTATGCCTGATCCAATCCATCTCCACTTTCTTCTGCATATTTCTTGGGTGATGGATGGGTTCTTGGTTGGTTCGTTGCTAGCCAGCCAGCCAGCCAGCCAGCCAGCCACAGTTCCTTGTTGCTTATTCTTCTTATTCTGGCCACCTGATTTTCAATGTCAGTACCGAGGCTGTGTAGGCAGCTGTTGATGTATTCCTGTAGTTTGTTGGAAATGCTTTGCGTAACGTGCCAAGTTTCTGAACCATCACATGGAAGCACTGACTTGACTGAATTAGTGTTGAAAATCCGGATCTTGTTTATGCTTTATGCTGAGTGGAGTGGAGTGGAGTAGATCACCACACTGATTTCAGATTAATGAAGATAGGCCTGTCTTGATTTTCCTATCCTGGTTTTGACATCCTCGTCTGTGCCTGTGCCACCTGTAATTGAAACGATACTGCCTTGCCTGGGTAGGTGAAAGAGACTACTTCCTTTGGATTTCTCCCGTTGATGGTGGAAAATCCAAATCTTAAATTATGATAAATTTCTTACTCTTCAGGTGGATCTCGATCTGGATGACATCTTATACGGATTCTAACATTTTCACTCAGATTTTTCATTTAGAGGAAAAGGAACCTGCTATTAATTACGAGACACAGCAATGAAACACTAAGAAGAACCATCTACAGAAAACCTACGCGGAATGGTCATCTTGCTAACTTCTACAGATGGGTGCTGATCATGAGGAAAAGGAACCTAACCCACTCACTCACTCACTCTTATGGAATGTGAAGAATTTGTGGCACACATCGTGTGTAAATTGAACTTGACTTCTTAAGAAGTACGCTTCAGGAAAATGGCTGTCCTAGCCGACTTGTTGATAAAAAATTGCAGGTAAAACATGTGAAACTAATAATCACTTCAGTTTTTCAAAAGGCTTTGTTCATGAATCTGAAACCTAAAGTTGATGTAGCATAGTTATTTGAGATCGATTAGCAAGACGTTCTTTACTAGCCGTAAATTGTTTTCCGTATGTGCAAAAAGATTCTCCAGGACAGGCCACCTGCACGTGCATTTAAAAGTTCACCTGTTCCCGTGGAGTAGGATAAATCCACCGTAGGAAGAGCCTACTGTCAACACATATGCGAGAACATATTACGGCCTTGATTGTATAAGGGTAAAAGGAAATGAATTAGAAGTTCTGTCCTTGAACATCTGATTGATTCTAACCAGTCAACCCAAACAATTACTTTAAGTTTGTTTATTGAATTCCCTCAAATATTTCACGTTTCCTTCGTTTCTAGCTTCTAAAAACAGCAAACACCTTAGCGATTTCTGAATGGGAAACTTGATGTTTGTGCACAAAAGTAGGACGTACAGTCTTCATCACTACCTTGGCCTTTACATCATTTTGTCTAGGTTCGTTTCATTTTTCAGATTTGCTCCCGTTGTTAGCCTTTAACATTTTTCACACCCATTATTTTTCCGTGTTACTTCATTTCATTTTCCTAATAACTGCGATTCTTAACAAAATATTTTCATTTCATATTACCTAATCGTTTGTTTTTTATTTGTTCTACCGTGTTTTCACCTCTTTTTAATCTATATATACCTTATAAACGATTTGAAAATCATACATAACCCCTTTCTGTTATCATTAAACCTCTGTATCATTAACTAGCAGCATTATTATAACTATGTCCATCATTATTGTCATTTCAATCTCCCATTATTTAAATCTGATTGTCCTTATGAATTACAGTCTTTAAATCATTCTTTTTCCCCTTTGTTTCACTTTAAGAAGTCGTTTTTATAGCTGCCACTGTTTTATTAGATTGGCTAATCCTATTTATTTTTTTGCCATACATTACTCATAATGTGTTTACATAAACGCCTCTCAAGATATCAGATTTCATTCACTCATTGCAGAAAATTTATATCTCATTCTAACGTGTGTCTAATTTGACTGAACTTCTGTGCATGAAACCTTTATTATGTTGTACTTCATCCTACCTGCCTCTTCAGTGTTTGAACTAAATCGCATAAGAACTCACATGAATGTTGATATCTGTACATTAATTACTTCTCTGTCCAAGTTTAATGCAGCTGATGAAAATTCTGCGAAATAACGGACACTACTTTGTTCCGGAAATACTCTTCTCATTGCGTTATTTAGTTTCATGAAAGAAACTAAATGAAAAATTCTGTAATCATCTTAGACGACTTATATTTACAGTTCTGTTAACAAGTAAATGCATCATTTTGTAATAATAAAGATATTTAATTTCATTTTAAAATGTACATTCACGAAGATTATACGAGATAACTGCACTATACAAGATATATATATATATATATATATATATATATATATCCACAATGTTTAGTCTATTCACTATTGTGTAATCATTCGTGGCATATTCAGTTATATCAATCAAGTAACCTGATGGGCATGAACAGACGAAAACAATTTATACACTAAATGACATTCCTTTTCTACATTTTGATGTTGTAGAATCTTTCAATTTCAACAAAGAACTCTTCGATCTATAGAATAAACAAATAAAATAATAAGTTATACTGGAGTTGGTAAAATTAGTATAAAACTGCATATACTGTTGACAATATACGACTTATTTCCTTGGTTTACTATTCGATTTCACTTTTCTTTGGATATTCATTTCACTCACCTGTTAAATCAGTGCTTAGTGGTTTAAACAATCAAATCTTATCGCTTCGGTTATCGGTTCCAATTGGCATAATCTATTTCGACCTGGGAAACGGAATAGCATCACAGACTATATAACATTCAGAATGATTTATGACCTAGTCAACAGACCTGTCCAAGTTTTTTACACTGCATTTTCCGATAAACTGGTCGGAAAATACAGATACCATGAACAAAATATATAATTTGAGTCTTCAAATCCCTTACAAACATCAAATCTCAAATCAATTGGGAGATCGATAAATTTTTGAATCACATTAGTACGATTCAAAATTTATTTCTAACTTCCTTCATCATATACATCTCATTATTTAGGAAAGAATAGTCAGGAAAGCATTACATCAACCCTAAAGTTCATAAAACAAGTTCCATTCTTTCTTTTAGTTAATTAGATAGGTCAAATGTTCGCAGTATCACATAAATTTGTTGTAATACTTTGGTAAGACAATGGGCGAGTAAAAGAATGAATGTAGCTCAGTAAACTTGTAGACATTTGTGTTATAGATTTATATAAACTATGATCAAGATTTGATCGTATAGTATGGCAAATATTGGGCGCTGAGTAAAAGGTTGACATTAGATATAGATTGTATTTGTGTAAGTCACAGAGGGTTTGAAATCAAATAATTCCAACGTTTCGTATATTTACCGTCAACACTGGTCTCAACTCCATTATTTTTGCATCAACAACAACACAACCTGCACTGATTTGATTCATTATTACTATCATCATCATCATCACCACCTTCATTACTACCACTCTATTCCGGTAAATCAATCCGATGAGAATTCGCTAACACTACTCACCACTTTATTCCAACTGAAATTGTATACACATCCACCTCATCCTTGTCAATTTGTATTTATAAAATTACTGAATGACTGTCACCAATGTCCTTTTTGTCTGATATTTACAATCAAGACGAATATGAATTGGAGTACATGCATTCGCCTTACAACAAAAGACATACAATTTCACACTGAATGATTAGTTATCATAAATTATAAAGACAATGACTATGCGAAGAGGATTGAATAAGGAGACTAAACACACGTTTTCTTGATTTCATTTATATATCCTTGATATTTTAATTTTGATTATTTCCCTGAAGACGCTCGGACCAGACTTCCGTGCGAAACGTTGGAATTACTTGATTTCAAACCCGCTGTGACTTACACAAATACCATCGATATTTGTGTTATAGGTTGTGAACCACACTAATCTATTAGAAGCAGTATGCAGTAGCTATGAGAAAAGTAACCCAGCTAGAGTTTGGGCTAGGGAGTCAATGACCATACCACAAAGCTACAACTATGGGGTCCTTAGTAAAAAGGAGTGTAAGTATTCTACGTACATAATCTTTGTAGTAATGAAATTCATTGAACAAACTGTAAATAGTTAGTTGCACATGGTTTACAGTTGAGGCGATAACCGGGTAACCAGCATATTTCACCTGATCCTTGCGTTGAAATAATGCACAGTACCATGCTTCAGTAGTACACTTAAGTAGAAGTCATTTCGAGAGATTAAATAGCTTTGAGCTAACGATAAAAACTGTCACAGATATGAATATAAATTCTTATTACTTACTTATTAAGGCGTCTCCACTTACTCAGAATATGTTTTTGAACAAATTATATACCCCGAGAAAAGTACACTAACTTTTGTGTTGAGTAAATCTTACCGAATTCTATCCCATCCTACCAAGCCAAACTAAAGCTTCAGAAAGTTTATTAGGTATTTAAGTAGACGTTGTTATGAAATACGAAATTTGCGAATTCACACATATATATGGGTTTCTAAGGGTTCAGCAACACTATTTGCGTCGAAATAAGAACATATCATAAGTTTACTTGTAACAATTTCAGTGGGTGAAGTTAAAAATATTTTTCATATGGTGTTGAAGGCCTCTTTAAAAACATGGTAAAACTAGGTAGTTTTTTCGCCATATTTTCGAATTCTTCAGAAACTTTCATCTTTGATGTCTGCCGAAACCATACTCACGGCCTTTAATTGAAGGGTGTCCATTGAAGAAAGGGTTCGATAACAGTTAGCAAGTGTAAAGTAAGGAACAAACAATGAAGTTACGCGCATTGTATAATGTTTTCTTTCAGTTAAAATGTTGTATACAGAATTTCTAAAAGGTGACATGACAATCTGATACTAGAAAACGCGATTGGTGAACAAATATGTGCTCATATTTAGCCTTCATAAAGAGTTATACAATTAGCTCTACAATATTAAGGTATGATTTGTGTGATTCCAATCTCTCCTAATGTTATGAAGTAAGGAATATGTGAAACACAATTCGATCAACGAAATAAGACATTTCGAAGATTTAGTTAGCAAGTAAAAACACATACAGAAACGTGAACAACTTATTTTCTGAACCATATAGACTGAGTATTATAGGCTACTAACTGGAGCATAAATTGTTAATTTATAATTCGAGAAGTCAGTGACTTACAGAGAAAATATGCTCACATAGATGTTATGATACTAAGTGGGCTATATATATGTACACATATAAATCAGTCAGTTAACAAACAGAAAATCATAACACAAACCTAATCACTTCTCAACTCTTTTCATTTGATTTCGGTTTAACTGGACATGCATTCTTTGAAAAGGAATTCGACATTGTACGCCAACTCAACGAATTCAGTGTCTGATTTAAACGTTTTAGCTGATCATAATCATATTTTAATCTGTCTTTTAAACAACTAGACGATGTAGGTTGAACAATGTGTGCTTCATCAACCGTACTATCACCTTGATCACGGTTTTTATGATGCTGGCCACAATTGCCTTCTGAACTAGTACGTATCTGATTTGTATTTGAAGAGTCGTCAAGAGTACTAATTGATGTTGAAATATGTCCCGGAGAAAAAGCTTGGTCAACATTATGTGGTGTTTTATACAAAAGACCTTCATTCAGATAATATTCATAAAATGTTCTAGCCAAATTCCTACCTAATCGAGCATCTAGAATAAGTAGACATTTTAAGGAAAAGTGGTGCTGAATGAGTGCGAACTTTTAAAGAAATTAATGTATAAATTGTTATTTCTACACCAAAGATTAACTTGTTTGTCAATGATGGTTTGATTCAAAGCAAAATGTGAGAAAATCGCCTTCGTATTCTACAGAAATCTTGAACACTTGCATAAAAATTTAGAAGCCAACCAATTTTTTCAAATGATGGTGTTGTATACGAAAAGTTAAAATAATAAGCACCATCTGTTATTTTAATGAAACTAAATTTCTCCACCTCTGTCGGCATATGGGCTCTTTGAATGGGTGAACTACTGTTATCTTGAGTTTAATTTTCATATCAGAACGAAACACGCGTCCTTGGTCTCAGTGATAGCCACCACCACTGAAATCGAGTTGGATCATTTTAGAAGCTAACTTGGAAGGATGATACATTTACTATGAATCTCAAAACTTGTGGGTACTTCATACTGAATAACCTTGTAATGGAAGAAAACAATTATTTTATATTGCCTTAATTTCCAAAGATTGTTCGAATGATACCATACCGAGATTTTAAATTTAGCTTTCAATTGTTGAAAATAAGTCTAAATACACTACTCATTTACTTCCAATCGAATAACAGTTCGTAGATGATATTATGAATATACTTAACAAATAAAAGGATACATTTTTCTTCCGTATACGGAATCATTTCATTGGTCAGCATATCAGTATAACTATAGAATGATACTTCCAATGTATAGCAAAGTGTGTGATCATCCAGAATCCCACCTAATGTACTGTAAAATAACAGAAGATGAAATGAAATGATAATTCTGCTTTGAGAAGGCTTCACCTTTTGATAAGAAAATAAAGCGTACACATAACGAGTTGAAGATTTCCCATATTTCAATTTTGTTAGAATTAATTTACAAAAATGAGTTTGCATTTTTGTTCCTTTGAAATTAAAGATATTCTGATTTTAGGTTATTCATACAATGCATGACGCTGTATGCTGTTAATATCTTTTGGAGTGTAGTGCATTTTAACAATCATGTGAACATTTTTGCACACTGATCATCTGAAGGCTAATGAAATTAACGAGTCCAGAATAGGTGAAGCGGATTACAAACCAATAAACTTCCAGTTCATAGTGTAGGGTCGACAGGAAGGAGTCATACCTCCACCTCTTGTGTGGTTTTTAAGACGTTCTGAAAAGAATTCACTCGATAATTTTTATACCTGAATAAACTATTTTTACACAGTATGGGAGACAAAACAACTATCTGAAGTTGGTAAATCAGGATGGGTTCAACGATAACACTAGCTGACTAGGTTCCGTTCCCACTTGTGGATGATGAATTAGAAGTCATAAATAACTAAATCAAGTAATCAACTATAGGAAATGTGACCCGATGGTAACTAGTTTCAGCCTATTGAAACTCATGGTATAACTGTTAACGTTGATCAGAGTATATGGATTAGAAAACTACCAAGGATAAAGTGACTTGAAATCGCGTTACACTCAAATAAAAGCATTATGAATTCAGGCTATCAGTAAGAACTCACTTAGTCATGGCTAGCAGAGGAATCCAGGACACACGTCAGCTGGATATACCTGCAATATCAAGGCATCCGCAAGACAGCCCATATAACAAATGAGGCCGAACAATTCGATCGAGTATAATGGAGAATTAAAAATATGTCAACAAACAGTAGCGTCAGTAAGAAACCAAAGACACATTTTCTGTTTGTAATACACCTGAAACCTTGGTTAAGCTTACAATGTTTCAGAGATTTTGCGTTCTGTTCCTCAGTGCTGCAGTATGAAGCTATGCTGATGAGAAATTCAGGCTGGAAATAGTCACCTATATGCACTGTAACCATCTAATCAGAACTCATAGCACCATGATACTGAGTTAGTGACCTTTACTATTATTTCATGTTACACGACAAACCTTGACCAACATCTGCTTTCCACATTTTACAAAATGAGCACTCCTAAGTAAGGTGTCGCAATACATGACTTAGGTAAAAATATCAGACGGAGCATGGATTTTAGAAAAAGTTTTGAATGAATTTTGATAATCAATGCCAAAAATTCACATATAGGACAAAGTGTCCATCTTTTCCAACTAAACAAACGATCTTATTTTTCCAGAAAATCAGCAGTCTAACACCTTAAAAATGATCCCTATTAATTGTAGAAATCACGTTTCTTTACCATAATATTTTGGTTGCTTTAAGCTTTGAAAGTTCTCTTTAATTATAGTTTATCAATTTATTTATCAAGACCTTCTTAGACAGTTCACTTTGTAATTGATCGATTACAGTCAATTCGATTTGAGAAAGGACAGTAAGATCTCACTCAATAGATAGCCCCAACGGTTAAACTGAACACTTGTTAAAAATAGTCTTGCTTTCCATATATTTTATAAACTTTCAATTATCTCATAACATTGAAGTATATTTAGTTAGCTCAAGGAAAGTGAGTTGTAAAAAGAAAGCAACCAAATTTCGTTTACCGTCGACCAGTTCCAGCTTTGACACTATCTTTGTTAAAATTTGTCTGTGGTAGACTAAAATCTTCAGCGAACTGACTTAATAAACTCGGGAATGTAGCTTGTCTTTCGGCTCTTTTTTCATCTTCATATATATTTCCATACATAAATCCATTCATTAGAGTAGAATGTGCATGAATATCTATGAAGAAGTTCACATCAACAGACTAAATGAAAAAACATTGATAAACAAAAGTTTAGTGATCAGTGTTTTGAAAAACTAGTACTTTAATAACGAAAACTGGTTACAATAGTGACCATCAATTCAGCCTATGCAAGATGTAAGTGGATAAAAATAACATAGACTTCGATATAACTTTGTATTGCTTCAGATTTCATATCAGCATCAAAAGGGGAAGGATGGAAAGAAATGAACTTAGTGATATCTTCCACCGCTAAAAAGCTATAAGACAAACCGAAACAGTAATAAGTGGAATAAAGGCACAATAATAAGGATTTCAAAATCTCTACAATGATAAGATGTGGATTTCTTGGCGCTACCCACAGTAACTGATTTGTCCATCAGTCACTATAAGTCAATGCGGAACAGCTTTATGTATTGGGCGTTTAGGTAAACTCATCATATGAGGGATTATGATAATACCCGATCGCTCTGGTCTACTTAAATGGAGCGGAGCTTGAACCCAGTACACATCGCTTAGAAGTCAATGAATCATCCAACCACCAATTTCAGAGTTACTACAAAAAAATTTCCAACTATTAAATTTCAATTATTCCACTAATTTCAACCAAAAGATTTAGATTTCCCAACAGAGTTCAAACTAGTAGTCAGAAATGCTATCGGTTGGTGCCATGTGTTGGTATGTTTTGCGCCTAAGCTACTTTTCAACTTAATTTTAAAGAAGTTGAAGAGAATAGCAGCCAATCTACGAGAATGGAGTCGACAGATTTAATAAGGGGAATATCAGTAAAATGAACTGGAAGGAATAATGTAATATCTGTAACCTGATATTACTTACATAACCCTTGCTACTCACGTAGAAATAATGAACACTGGAATTTGACTGGAATTTAAACATCCAATTTTGTGCTAATACAATGTGAATGCCTTATGAGAAAAGAACACTATAATTTTGTGTGAGAAACTTATACAACTGGCATTATGAAGATAATGCTTGATTATATCAACTAAGAATCCACTTCTAAGTAAGGTGTCGAAAATTATAATGAATTTTCTAAACTTTAGCATTAATTTATATTCATATTTGTTGTGTTTACATTAGAAACGCACGATAGAGTAACTTCTTGTACAGTTAATGTATTAATATTCTACAGTAGTGGGCCTATCCCATAACAAGACCGGGATAAACAACGTAAGCATATCGTCGGTCTTGCTAAGGATTTAAAAAACTGCTATCATATGTACCATATTGATGTGATTTTACCCTTGGCTTGTATCACTCTTTCCTGTGAATAATCCAAAACGACCTTATAAGTACAAATTCAATTCGCCAGTGTTCTGTATTTTTATGGATTTATGTGAAATCGAAGTCAAAATCCATTCAGCAACCTTGTGCACATTCGTGTAGTAGACAATGATCCATACCTGATGTATAAGGGGTAATGATACTACTACCTGGCCGCCAAAACCTCAGTAGGTGGAGCTGTGTTCGAACCCGTGACCCACCGGTTGAAAGCCAATTACCTAAACCAATGAACCACAGTTCATTTTTATGTGGAATTAAAAAGTGTGAATAATCATATTAGTTAGCAAGGAATAATAACAATAATTAGTTGTGATTTTCGCATTTTCCATAAACTGAACATTTATCATCCCAAGCATTTTAGCATCCGTTAGTTCATGTACCTTTAATTTCGGATTTGTCTGTTTATAACGAATTAATACACCCTGATGAATTGAAGAGACTTTTCTTCAAGTTAGACATTATATCAGAAAAATAATATTCTTCAAACTGTTCTACAAGAATGTATTAGTTAATCAACTTGTAATTCAGGCAGTGTCTGTAAGACTAGCGATATAATTACTCACCGTGAAAACTTTTCGAAAATCATACTCTTTGAGATATATTCATTTAAGGTAAGTAAAATTAAACATACTTTTTTGAAATAAACCATATTGTCTACAAAATAGCTCTGTGCATGAAAAAAACATGGTCTGTTTATGACTTGACTATCTCTTCCTACCACTGGTACGCGATAACTTATTATCAACTAACAAGTCATGTAATATCATGCATGGTAGCATCATCAAAAATTAAAATATTGTAAGGCGATTTAAACTTTTAATACATTACAATTACGTACTGGTTCTCCTTTAAACACACTGGTCAAGCAGAAGAAATTATATTGGAATATACCCTTTCATCACAAGATTTTGATTAACATTATAGCAGTGCCAAATCTCAGTTAGTGGTTGGATTCCATCAATCAATTTTTTATTGTAGTCAATACGCTAAGTGAGTATACATGACAGTGTACGGGATTTAATTTTAAATAGTTGGAATGTTATGTTTAACTCGTTGGCCAGGTTTGTGTACGAGAATCAATTCTTACAGATATCCGTGAGAAATTCACTAACATCTCGAAAGCTTTAACTGAAAATGTTAATACACCTTCCTCTCTCAACTGTTCCAAGTCAAAAGTAGGGTTAGAAAAACTGCTTGATTTCGACAAAGTAGATTTCTCTGAGCATAAACCTCCTCAATCGTGTTAAAGTTTAAAGAAAAATGCTATCTAGTTAGATGATGAATGATGATGTTTACGATGAATGTCGTATATCACCATTTCTACATAAATTTATTATAGAAGTACTTACTGATAGACGAAACCTGACTTATCTACAATTTTCCAAGAAAAATTTCTACCAAGAGAGGACTTATTTAGTCTGGAGTACTTATGGGACAACGTTCCGATAGACAAACGGTCAGAAAAAGACATGGTTTTCTGAATGCGCTTAACGAAAATCTGGGTATATTTTACGTGAACATCGAATCAGTTAAATGCCAGATGATGCTGCAGTCCTGGTATGCGAATACGAAATAAAGTGGTCAAATACACGGAGAGAACATGCAACTTAGTAGCCTGAAAAATTATTAAATACATCTTAAAATCAGTGTCAAGTAGCTGATAATTACTTTCTGTCTCTTACGAAAAGAGCAAGATAAAGTTTAAAAAGTAAATGACCGTGCTATGATTCGGCTTTCATTACTGCCATTATCATTATTAATATATCACGTGCTGTTTATTCAGTATTTTCACTTAATTATCATCTTTATTTTGCATGTTGCAGCATTTGGCACCACCGTCCTACCAAGTTCTCCAATAATGAATAAATAATGAAGGAGATGCTTCTCACTCATAGTTATGCGAATATATTGTCCAGGAAATTGATGCGTTCGATTTCAGGTAATGTTGTAAAGCTTCCAACAATTTCATAAATAACTTAGGCTCATCAAACCACTCAAATGCCGCTGAACTGCAGGTAACATGTGAACTAATTTTGAGACGATCCATGAGAAAAAAGCTTGAGCAACATCATTGACATAAATTATTCATATTTACAGATCCAAATATCGGTCATTATACCTTGGTACTCATTTATCTGCTATTAAAGTCATAGTATCAAACAGATAGATCAATACAGATGCAACCTGTTACAAAATTATGAAAATTCACATCATCATACAAAGAAGAGGTAGACAAATACCAAATGACACAGGAGTTGAAAAAGGTATACGAGAAGAGATCGATTAAATAAACGAAGGTTAATGTGAATATTTAAAACTTCGAAGGTGTTACAGAGTGTATACATTTGCGCTATGGTGACCAATTTTGAGCCCTATACTACACGCTCTGTTCTCAAAGATCCGAGTCAGCCATTCCACACCTTCTTACAGACCTAAAACTATCGGTCAAAGAGTTCATGAACCACTGCCTTTTCTTAATCTGGTCACCCATAATACAAAAATGTTCAACCAATAAACAAATTATACAAAAATATGATTAGTTTTTGTATTTGTATTTCAATAATATGAACACATACCACATCAACATCTAAGTTCATCAATAGCTGTTTTGTTGCATAAATAGTAGGATGCGCCCATAAAGATGGAGACTGCCATTGTCTGTTCAGATCGAAACCCATAAGGGAAGACCTAAAACTCAAAGCATCAAACACTAACTCACTGATTATAATGAAAACTAATTTGGTATACGACACTTCTAAATTGTAGTATAGTTTCACAAGCACAAGTAGGTTGAGGGAAAAGAATGTTCATTCAATCATGTACACATTAAGGTTTTTTTCTTTTCTAGCGTAAATGATTATCTAAAACACTCCGATGAAGACGAATTCAAAGATTACAAAGTGATAAATCGATAAGTCGTCAAAACCGATCAAAAATCCAACATAATACGTGAACCATATATAGGCCAGTGTCTTAGGTTTTAAGTTATTCCCTTTCTGCTGGATCAAATGATTCTGTCGTAATACTTTATTATCATCCGCCAACTCACCTTCATTTAATTGACATTTTCCTTATCTTTTCAGGAGTTATGAATCATTCAGTTTAGTTCACTCCTTTTCTTATATTATGGTTCATCATTCAACTAACTGATGTTCTCCTATTTGAATGAACTTACCCGTATTCACAGATTTAAATTGTATTGGACAATTTTTTGCTGACGCAGTAAGCCCCAATTTTGAATCTGCTCTTTTCAGAATGATACATTTGGTGGTTTGACCATATTAAGAGTCTTTATTGGATGGTAATTGTAAACATTACAACCTTGGCTTATGGAAACACCGAAGTTCAAAGATTTCTGTCAATATTTAATCCATACTTTGTACTTATAATACTCGCTTTCGAATAAGCTTCAATATTATTATGCTCAATTTCCTAGGTTCATGTTTGTCATCTTACCTAGTTACTTATCAATACAAATCGACTAAGATATACAATACGATTTTTTAAAAACAGAATAAATTTCGATTATTTTTTAACTATTTGCATGTATTTACAATTTTCTAAATCAATGTGGTCTTAGTAAATCTACTAGGGAAAAACTAGTAAAGGTGTGTAAGGCATAAATTAACCTATTTTATTGTTGTGGTTAAATGGTCATCTGGTTTTATCAAGAAAAGATTAAAGGTAGAGTGAATTTAAAGGTCACCTTAGCAACGATTAAATTACCAACTAAATTTATCCATTTCCTACTGCAAAGATAGCTTTTTAATAAAATACAGAACTCTAATTGGTTATTTCATTAGTTATTAGGGAGGCCTTTAGAATGACTCTTATTTTTAAAGACATCGTATTTCATTTACTTTATTCACACAGTAGTTACTAAAACTTAAGACGTTACACAGCATATTTACTGTTGTACGTTGTTTAATAAATTGAATGAATTTAAAGGCCATCGTAACAACGACTAAAATAATCAATTAGACTTCTCTATTTTATGAAAATCTCCCTGCATCTCCAGCGGAAATGAAGACATTTAATTGGTTATTTCGAACGTTGCTAGGATGGCCTTTAAAGTCATCCCAAAATTTTATTCAAGTCAACTACTAGTAGTTGCCTCATTTTTGGTATATTTTTGCACATGAAGGCGCTATATGTTTTGAATTCCAGAAATATGCTTTACAGTCAGCGGTACATCTTTATTGCAAAAAAAATATTTATCGTGGTGGTCAAAAGATGCTCAACATAACGGATAA